TGTTTAACATTGCTAGGAGTTAAAAAGGAGATGGGCAAGAGCTGATTTATTTAAAGCTGACTGCAGAAGGGCTAGGTTTAAATCCACCTCAGATTTTTCATCATCTGGTAGCGTGACTTAATTTAAATGATGAAACAGTAGTTTTGTCAAGTACTGAAGTGTCCTTATTTCTTCAGAGGGCAAACATGAACCACATGCTCTCCTCACAGGGCCATATCCTGAATAGAATATGCTGAAACACGGCTGTTAATACATAGTGGCTTCTAGCGTAAATAGGACAGATTGTGGTAGTTGCAGCATGTCGCTGTAAACAAGCTGCTTTCTGCGAATGTTTGCTCTGCTACTTCCTAACAGCTTGACACTGATGATCATTATACAAAAAGTATGTACAAATATTGGCTGCAGTTACCACGATCCTTTCTCTTTTTCATGGCTATTAGCTTTAAAACATGCTCAAGTATGAAACCTGAGCAATATTGTTTCCTTTGCTTGCTCTTTTTCAGTCTCGTTTTGGCATCTTGAGAACAACACCAGTGTGATTGAAACTATTCATTCCAAATCAGACTATAAAAAGTTGTTAAATAAGTATGTGCGTCCATAATCATGTGGTGTTTTGGATTAGTTTTATTTATATGGTCTTTGAAGTATAAGGATCATGAAAGAAAAAATGTCAGTATTTTCATTAATATGGAAACCACTTTCAAGAAATACACAGCAGTCTTTTTTCAGGTCAAAACCATGATTTAAAAATGGACTTACCCAACAGGATCAGTTGCCTTTGCACATTAGAATATTTAAAAGCTTTGGGTTTAGTGTAACTGCTGTTGTTTTGTAGGAGACAGAGTATGGTGAACTGCTGCCTAACCTGCAGTGCAGCTGTTTCCCTTCTTGATTCACATAGGTCACATTTGAAATACTCTCACTTCTTATAACAGAATTAATTGCTGTTGCAGAGACCTCCCTCTTCTTGAGGATTCCTGTGCTCATGGAGTTTCAAGCAGTTTGGCTCACTAATGACGGATACATGCAGAATTTCTTCTGTAGTAGGATCTCTCCTGGGTGTCATTTATGACAAACGAAGATTCCTTCAACCTGGGAATCTTGATGTTTTCGTTAATTTACTGTTTAGTTAGTGTTATTTTAGTATGTTTATAGTGTAAGCTATAGCAGAGCTAAGGTATCCAAAGCCTTTAAAGCTGTATTTGGCACAGTGTTGTACTTTTTATCTTTTATATTAATCTTCTCTCCTTTGGCATATCTTCTTAAATAAAATCAGGTTGCGTGACTTAGAAGGCATTAATAAATCTCTGAAGTATTACAAAGATGCTTACAATTCTTTGGACACGTGGATTCAACAAGTGGAAGATACTCAGCGAAAGATTCAAGAAATCCATCCTGAAAATAGCAAAGCATTGGCTAAACAGCTGAACCAACATAAGGTATGAAGGGGATCTCATTGTAGGAAAGCACTACTTTAATGACTGAAAAAGAATTAAAATATCTTTTAAACCCAGTCATGTCAGCCTTATTTCTTGATAGGAAGTGCTTATGTCCCTCTGCCCTTATTGTAAAATTCCAAATAATCACCGGCTTTAATGTTTTTATGATTACAGTGCAGCTAACATCAGTAATGTATCGCTCACTGATTATAGTCACTTTATAGACCAGGTTGTTTTGGTCTTCAAATCTGCAAGAAGAGCAAAACCTTAGAGAGTGCCTGCAATTCTGGACTGTCCTTATCACATCATTTTTTTATTCAGTACTGCTCGTGGTAGTTATGGATATAGAATTATTTTCATGGAGGCAGAGCTAAACTCAACAACTCTCTCCTGCAAGAAGGAAATGCAGCTTAAATAAGAGACATAATAACAAATTATATGCATGAAGTGGTATATTTCTAGTTTCTTTTTAAATTCACTCACCATCTATTAAACCTGACAGGGTTTTTTCACTGCTTCTGTAAGCCTGACAAAGTGAGGACATGGGCTTGAGCATGTAGTTATTTGTACCCACATGGAAATGAGTGTATTAAGGAAATTTCATTATGTTAGATAAAGCAGAAAAGCTAATAATAATAGTAATAAAAATCACTTTTTAAGATGAAGATGTAGATTCATATTTTACAGATGCTGGTTTCTGAGATTGAAATGAAACAAAGCAAAATAGATGAATGCCAGAAGTATTCAGAACAATACTCAGCTGCTGTGAAGGTAATAAATAACGTTATACTTCAAATCCTTTTTTTTAGCGTCTATGATGTGG